GTAAGGTCTGGCGAACATTTGACCAGTGACCATCAATTGTCTCCAGTGAGCGCTTACTCAACTCGCATGTCAGCGTACTTTGATACGCATTCAGAACAGCTGGCTTTGTCAGTTGGCTGGTGTCAATGCGCTCACAGCGTCGTCGTGGGCGTCCGCCAAAACACATCCACATGTCAGCACATACAAGTGCATGATCGGTGTCCTCACATGTGCTCCAAATCGAACGACAATTCTGGATGCAGCCACTCCAGCGGTAACTGATAGCAATTTGATCGATCTGCGTCCATGGCAGGTGGGCGCCAAGTCACCCCCGGCGGGTGCGGTGTCGGAAATTAGTGCTCGCAAGAAATAAGCGAGCATCCTCACACAAATGAAGTAACCGCTCACCGCTATCATTACGGGAGCCTACACCGTGCTGACCGCCCAAATGCATTTCATCAGTAGGCAGCTTTCCAACTTGCGCGTTCAAATCCACAGCCAGCACAACAGTGTCCGTGCTTTTTCTGTGGTGAAGAATCTGGCTCAGTTGGCGGCAAAAGGCGCTCTTTACGAAATCATCGCCGGAATATGTGGGTGCGTAGGCAGCGATGATGAATAGACAGCTATTAGTCCCGTGCGACTTCGAAGCTTCGAACGAGCCAGCCAATCGGAACGCACACATCCAGCTACTGATTGGAATCCAATCAACCAGAGCAGCTTCAGCCCGGGGACTCAGAGCAATACCAACACCAGCTTAACCGGTGCTCGAAGCTGCATCGTCACCGGATAGGCGCAATGAGAAAACACTGTTTGCGTTACCTGAAGGGGATCGCAGAGTGAACACAGAGCTGGAGTCTTGCGGGCAGGTCTCCGATAAGCAGCAGATGTCGATGGAGAGCGTCTCCAATGTGTGGGCAAGTGCTGCCTGTTGATCGATCTGTAGCAATGTGCGTACATTGGGTCATGCCAATCTGAAGGAGGATCGAGGGCTCCAAATGGAAGCCGATGAACTGGACTTGGCCGCTTGATTGGACATGAGCCTGTCGACAGGAGAGAAGTGACGCTCCGCGTTCACATGTGAGTTGAAATTAGAAGAGAAATGTCTACAAGGCATGTTGGGTGAGGGCCAAGAATCGGGGGGGGGGTGAAAACTGGGGGGATAAAAGTGAAGCTGGAACGGGACGATAATCGTGAAAAAGCGTAAGAGGAGGAATAAGAAGACGGGAAGGCTTGAGCAGTAGCATCCAAACCCCTATCCACCCTGCTCGATGCAGCAGATAGGGCACCGCTAAGTATCCTCTGCGACGACCAGAGCATCAGAAGTTTGTTTGCAGAGAGATTCATTGTATTGCGCGGGCAGGATACTGTCAGGTTGCCCAGGCCTAGACAGGAGAACGATTGGTGTTCTCAACCAAAGCCTTCGGTTCAAAAACTTTACCGCAAAGCACCGGGTTTGACGTTGGGCTACAAAGTGCCCGTTTTAAGGAATAAGGTGCCACCCTCATTCCAACCTTCAACCTGGAGGACCAGGAGGCTGAGTTTGTCTGGCCTCTAACCATCGACCAATCTGGTATGAGTGGCAATGAAGGTGCAAAAATGCATCACTCAGCATAGCTCAATGGATCGCTGAGGCACACAAACCATCGCACCGCGGCAAGGTCCAGCCTCATTGCGATGGGCATATGGTTTGTGGTCGGCAACTGTGTTTAGTGAGCTCTTACTTGGGTCGAATGCCACCATACATTATTATATGATTAGTACAGCCGGCTTCGCCAGCAAGCAAGTGCCTAGACGCTCACAACGTTGTCGCTGGCGTCCACAGAAACGCACTCGGAGGTCAGCACATATAAGTGCATGATCGGAGTCCAAATTCGTGCTCCAAACCGAGTGACGGTTTTGGACGCAATTCTTTCAACAATAACCGATAGTGATGTTTGAGTTCATGACAGATGGGCGCTATGTAACTCTTCTGCGAATGCTTGGTCGTAAATTACTGCTTGAGACAAAGACGAGCATCTTCACATGAATGTAACAATCGCTCATTATTGTCAATACAGGGGCCGACACCATGTTGGCTGCCCAGATGCAGCCATCATTAGACAATTTTCCAAGTTGAGTGCTGAGATCGCCAGGCAGTATCCGTATTTTCTAGCTCGTCCAATTCACGACAGATACCGTTCTTCACGAAGTCAGCGCCACAATATGTGAAGGGGCAGGCAAAGATTATAAATAGGCACATGTTGGCCCCGTGCGACTACGAAGCTTTGAACGAGCCGGATAGCAGGAAAGTGCACAACCGTCTGTTGATTGGAATCCAATCGATCAGGGCAGTTTCAGTGAAGGGGAGGGGTGGCCAAGCGATGACTTGGTCAAGAGGAAAGAAAGCCCTCACTACGAAGTTGGCCTCGGTTGGAGGATCTAGGCTCCCTAGTTGAGTTTCGAAAGACGATGAACAAGTTTGGCTGGATACAGTTGTTGACATGACTAGGAGCCGATAGCAGTGGCGCTTGTGTTGTCTGCTTATTTGTCCCTCCCCCTCCAACCAGAATCTCATTTCTTAGGCATGATACAATTCTTTTTTTACGGCACAATGGTGGGCTGGTAGCACTCCGGAATGATGCCTATCTGTTACCGGTGGCTCAGCTGGCGTGCCTCTGTTGCCGGTTTTTGCTTCTTTTCTTGTATATGGCAGCACGATAGCTGAGGTGTTCTCCACCTCTAGCTAACGTGTATAATGATGATGAATGATGGACAGCTTTAGTCAAGGGACTCAGAACAATGCGCATGACGGCTTCACGAGCGTTCGAAGCTACATTAACTCCGAATAGACGCAGTCATGCTTTGAGTGCTCAAGCGCAGCTTCTGGGTCCGGTCGCCAATTGCCTGTTCTCCTCCACCATAAGGCCAATGCTAGAGTACGACTTTCGCGCACACTGTCCGACCACCCCAGATGAGGTGCAGAAGATAGAACAGGTCGAACACCTCGCCGTCACACTCTCACAGTTTAAGGTACGAAGACCGGTGTGAGACACTAGGATCGTACACCCTGTGCTACCGTCGAATGGGTGTAGAACACAACATAACCCATCCTATCTTACACCTCGGTAAGTTCCCATGCTGAGGCTTCTGCTTCATTTCCGAAGACCATGCAGCCTACGCGTGCACCAGTATAAGCTTGTGGAGCCGGAACTGAAACGAGTTCTCTACCTTCGTGCTTCGAATGGCGAGTGATTAATGTTTGGAACGGTCTGCTGTAACCCATGGTGAAAGCAAACCAAATGCAACAATCCAGATCGATGTTGGACTTACATTTATCCACGGTCGAATTCCGAGAACAACTGTTTACAGACAATGACACCACACATGGTGAATCCTGGGTTAGTGCGCGTTATACAATTGTGGACGACCACAAGTCGGAACTTGAAAAACAGTTAGAGAATTGACAGATCACAGGTGGGCTTCTAATTTTTCAGAATTTTTGATCATATTTTGATGGATGTGTACATAGCTAAATTTCTACTTGCTCTCGTAAGACAGTAGCCAGAATAGCCATACAAAGTCCGATCCAACAAGGGCTTCTCAATGCACATTCCGCTGAAATGAGGACGGCTCAAGCGCCAAGGAAGAGATGAAAATATTTGGAGTATGCAAAAACAGCAACCCTGCACTAATTGAGGCATAGCTCAGAGAAAATTGCTTTTCCCAAGGCATTCTGGGCCTAAACTAAGGCTGACGTAAATATACTTTCTAAATGAGATGTGTCAAGGCGGGTCATCTGAATCACGTGAGGTACGCCTATGATGAATGCTCCAAACGGGGTCTAAAATTCGAGGAGAAACGGTCCAAACTGACGACCACAAGGCCATGATGACGAGAGCAAGTAATAAACCACAGGGATATTGTGTGAATGTAGCAGTGTGATGACATACCAAAGTTTAGTCCCCTAGGGAGAGAGGCACACGATTGTGCTCGTCGCAACCAAGCGAGAAACCGTTAGCAATAAGCGTAAGCCGTGTACACAACACAAAGGAATAGTGAAGAAAATTGGTGGAGGGGACGGGATTCAGAGGAGCCCGAAGGCATTCAGGGCTACATGACCCGGGCACAGCTGGCCAGCGCGCAGGGCCTATGTAGCTCAGTCCATAAATTTATTACGAATCTCATAACTAGGGAACAACGGACGAATAAGGACAACGGGCGTATGAGTGGACTATGGCGATGAGAAATCGGTCCTGACAGAGACATATGGTTGGTGTAATGAAGTGATTACTTCGAGTGATAGTCACATGATAACCTAACAAGTAATGCAAAGTACCGTTCATCAGCCAAGTGAAACAGCTAGTAGGTGATTCGTGAGCAGAAAATTGAAGCGAGAGACGACTGCGAGCCAAAGAGATGAAAGCGGTGCGGTTAAGCAGAAGTTTGTCACGGACAACAGCCACTAAACCTACCGAAGACATGAAGACAATCTGAGTCACCAGCTTTCTCTTAAGGCGGGGGAGACGATGTCAAAGCAGACAAAAGGACAGGCGCGTAAGAAACAAGGTGGAATTGAAAAATGTCTAATAAGAGAAGTCGCATTAGGTACAAATGGAATACATATGAGATCTATCGAAATGACTAAGAATAACCCAAGGCAAAACGTGAAACAGTGGGAACGATTTACCGATTCACCGAGAGTCCGTTATCGACCGCAACGTGGATGCGATGAGAATGTTTGAAGGCACCACAGCAACCTTTTCGTCATGTACAGTAAACACAAGGCACAGTGCTGGTGGAGAAACGGTTTGAACGGCGCAAACATAACCGACAAAGAGCACGGAACAGAGCTAAAGTAATAAAAAACAGTAAAAAAACGGAAAAGGAAAACAAACCACTGTACAATACAATTCAAAATAATCAAAATTGGGCAGAAAAACGAACCGGCCACTTGTGGTATCTCGATGGTGTGCGTAAAAGACAAGCTCGAGTTCAACGAGGAACAGACAAACCCAAACGGTACAAACGGAGTGAAGAAACCGTCAATGCGAGATTTCCAGAGCAGACGCCGCGCTACTATCTGTCATGGCACTGGTGTTTTTGGATTCCGTTGATAAACGGGGTTGGGCGGTGGGATTGAGCTCATCTGCATCGACCGGCAGGGGTTGGTGACGAGCTTCTAAGGCCAACTCACTAGGACCAGAAAGCTCCGCAGCACCGGCCTTAAGTTTTTGGAAAATGAAAAACTCGGGTTGACTCGCGGAGGGGTCGCTACCCGGAGGAGAATGAGAGGAGTGGTTACCGGAATGGATAAGACGAATCTTGCACTTTAATTCGGATTTGTTTGCAGTTTTGCGACTCTTCTTATGACAGGTATGAGGTTCTAACGATGTCGCGGTTATAGCAGAATTCGAGTGCGTCTTTAGGTCCGATACCAACTTGGTCCGATTAACACGTATCGGACGCGGTTTACGAGACCTCCCTTTCGAGCTACCACGCCAGCGCGATTCCGGTGATCGGACGTTAACGGAATGGTGAGCTTTGTGGGAATTCTTATTAACAGATGAATCCTTTTGGTATAGCCTGTTATGACCATTAGCAAGTTTGCGCCGTTTGGCAGGCAAGGATTGAGAAGCGTAAGGATTAGGCCCATTGATTTGAGGATGCTGTCGGCGTGGACGTGTGGTTGTCGGCTGTGCTTCGTTCGGAATGGGCAGTCGACTGTTAGGATCCACAGACGCCCCGGTTACCTGGGTTTCACTAATACATCCGGAGTACAAGTCCCGCCCAGACTTCGAACAAGAAGAACGGGTGCGTTTAGATGATCCAAGACGCCGGGATGAGCAGACACGAGAGCCTACATATGGTCTTGATTCCTCTTCATTCTCGAACTCATCGTCGCCATCACGTGCCGCCTGTTCGGCTTTCAGAGCAGCCTGCTCTCTTTTCACTTCAGCAAGAGAAGGAACAGCGGAGTTTTGGGGAGAAGTAGAACGGCTGAGATTGGCCTTGCAAGTGGAACCTGAAGCGGGATATAGATGATGAGATGCAGAAACCTCGCTTGTCAAACCAGGCGTCAGGAAGGGAGGTTTGATATCAGTAATCGATTTTCCTGTAGGGTCCGAAAGCGATCGTGGCTTTGAATCGATGCCATCACAGGAGTCACAGTCGCCAAAAGCAGGAGCACGGTGGCTTGTGTCAGGCAAGCACAAAGATTCAGCGGGAGAAAGCTGGTCGGTGCTTGCATTGGGGACGCCAGAGAAACCCTAAAGGGTGAAAACAAAGACAATATGTAGTGGTCGGTGGAGTGACGAAGTTAACACCAAGCCGTATACTGCCACATACAGGAGAACAGAAGGCACTCAAAGTAACGTGTGTATGTGTCAAGGTGAGACTTAACTGCAAAGCACTCCGAAAAGTTGGATAATCAGTTTGTTTTAAGCAAAGTAAACTGATTGATAACGCTTAGCAGCAGGAGCTACAGAGGGCCAGTGTCAAGCCTTGAGTAACCACACCTGAGTGGGGACAAGAGTGTTAAAGGGTAAGGAATGGGCGATGAAGTAAGGTAGAAACATGGCGGGGCAAAAAAAGCAGTGTCCATCCTAGCCCACCCTGATCAACATCGCCTCGAAGTATGCGATAAGTGAGCTCATGACTTATGCATTCTAATCGTGCCACAGTTGGTCGACAAAACCTAGATAAGTGAAACGAACCATTGGGGTTGCAACGTCTAGCCATTAAGCTTAATGACTAATAGTTTAGCCACCTTATAATAATTATCAACAAGAGGACAGTAGTATTAAGCACTGGTACTTTGCTGTTATACAACCGTGAAATAAAAGGGGTAGCTGCACCAAAAATAAACGAGATGGAAACATGCGTGTTGTGGAATATCAACGCATAAGGAAAACAGGTAGGATCGTGGCGCCAACAACTCAACAACAATGTTCATTAAAGAAAACTGATAAGTTCATGAAAATGAGGCGATATCAGTGAGCCTGGTTTGTTACACTTTTCAATGTCTTGCGTCGAGGGATTAGATGCCGAGCTGTTAACCCGAAGGTCACTGGTTTGAACCCGCATAGGTGCGGAGGAACTCGCGGAACACTTAACCCACGCGCGATTTGTGAAAGTTGCATGGCATCGAAATGGCGGTACGTAGTACCGGCGTACTGCTGATACCTTCTTTTCTGCCTCGCTGTACCGCGTCAAAAGCAAACTAATTCCACAAATGGGTCCGCACCATGTGCAAGTGAAACTAGTAGATTGGTCAGAAAACGGTGATAAATGCACAACTGGTTTCGGTTGTGAGGCATGTCCCGTAATGTTTGGATCGAAACTCAGAACCCCTGCTTTAAGAACGGAGAACCAACACTATCCAACTCAGTAGTCAACGATTTTGTTACCAATTGCCTCTTTAAGCCTCTCGCCATCCAACATCTGGCAACTGATACAAAGCTCGTGTAGGTGGGTGGTATGTAGGCTCAAGAGCCGACAACACGTAATCGTTATTGCTACTGGACCAATGTCAAAATCGGATTATCACAGCCTGGCAGTCGTTCGAGTGTTTCAGCGTTGTAAACACTCTGGAGGCATATATGACGAAAAATGTTCCGTAGGCCACAAATTCAGTCCCAGGACATACTGTTTCCAAGCTTCAATATGGCAAAAAACAACTGTGACCGTGATATTGTATACAAGCGAATGCAAGGTAAATTCCATTTCTATGACAAAGATGTCACAGATTCCTAAGGACAAAAAGCATTGCCCATCGCGACTGCGTGACTTATGAGTAGCGGTTTCGGATGAAACCAAAAAAGCCGGGGTTCGAGTGCCTGCTACCTACCTAATGCGATAAAACAAATTCGAAATCAGTTACAGAGCGCAGCGCTTTTGATCAGGCAACACCCAACATCTGTCGACAACTCTGGTAGTTGTGATCAGTGGACTAATTTCAGAAGTCGCACAACCATCACTACCACTGCAACTGATAATACAGGTTAATTGGTCAACCGTAGGGTTAAATGAAGATAGCGAGTGGTGGGAGCCTTGTGAAAACACTTCGACGGTGCAAAGTGGAAGCCAAATGAGGAGACCACAACAGTTAAAACAGGATTGACTAAGCCGATCAGTCCATATCGATCAATTTTACCCCGGGAAGGACCTCACTATCCGCATCGTTAAACCGCGTAACGCAACGTGTCATGATGAAGTCTATTAAATTGAATAGAAGCAGGGAAAAAAGACAACCTTATAGAACGCCACGTAGTATCAACAAAGATTCCGACAACTCATCATAGGTCATGGGGCCACCTAGTGTTCCAGTGCACATGTACGTATATGGTGGGAACACCATAACGGACAAGATCATAGAGAACGGAGTGGAAAGATGAAATCCATTGGGAATTGAAGATAGTAGGCTCAGTAGGCCTGTAGTACGTGCAAATCGGCCTTAGCGTTCGTCTTAAAAGAAAATGTGATATATCTATCTTCATCCTGGTCGAAAACATGCTAATTCGTGCCTTCCATACCTCGTCGAGTGAGTGAACCAAATCAGCACAAAACAACTCAATAGTACCCTCAGATGAGCATAAGTGAGAGGACGCACCGACAAAGCAAAAGTGAAAGGTCGTAAAAACATTTAGTACATCAGGTTCGGATATGATCTCTGAAAGACTTTGGCAGCACGTCGGTACGCAGTACCGACGCTTCGTTGCCGCTCAACCATCACCAGTCGCGCGTAGGTTACGGACACTGCGAGGGTTATCCGGTCCCTACGCAGGCTCGAATACTGAGAATAGAGAGCGAGAAGATAAAAACCTGTGTTCATCCATCGTAGGTGGATCGGGTAAATGAGCGGAATCACGTCGGTGAATCCTGAGCGGTGACAGCATATTGCAGCCGCACTACATCTTATCCGGGTGCGATACGCTCCCTATACCTGTAGTCCGCAAAGTGGATGCCAAGGAACCGATTTTGCCTCGAATAGCGTCTCCGGCAATTTGTTCCAATAGTTCATCATGCGACGCTCGAAGTATAGTGTTTGAGCGATGCGTTTTAAACCCAGTACCATTGGTTTGTACCGGTGTCCGCGTGTGTTTCTTGGTACACAAACGTGCAGCAGCGCCCTCAACATAGGGAAGTGGCCCAGATGCTGCATCCAGTGCGTCACAAGGAGATCAACTCGAAGCTGACGATATAACAGGGTATAAAGCCCTAGTCTCCTACATCGGTCCTCGTACAACATACCCCATAAACTGAGGATGAACCGGGTAGCTGCAAGCTAGACCTGTTCCAGTCTCGGCACGTCACTTACTGTGATTGGACAATAGGCGGGTGATCGGTGCTCAAGCACAGGTCTTAAAATGGAAGAGGACACACGGGTGGCGATCTCTGCAGATCAAGTGTAGAAACTGCATCTCAGTGCTCAAAGCAGGCGTAGTCCGTTTGCGTACAGTCTGTTCGTGTTGTCGACAAACTTTAGCTCACGACGTGATAGTACGCCTAGATCCTTTATGGAACCGGTGGGATGCAGCGGGTCGCCGACCAAGGTGTACACACGCCTACCACAACCCTTCCACAGACGCATAAAGATGGACTTCGCCGGGTTGACCGGTAGGTCAACTTCTGCAGACGACTGGGATAGGCGGTCGAGGTCCTGCTGAAGGACATAACAGTCGCTGGGAGAATTAATAATCCTTCAAATCTTCAGGTCGTCAGCAAATAATACGTAGGGCGACTGAAGAAGCTGAGGTACTTTGATGATGTGGATTAGGAATAAAGTGAGCCACAGCACTGTGCATTGGGGTACGTTGATGGTGGACGGGTACCATTCCGTTAGGTGGTCATCCACCTGAACGCGCCACCTTCTCCCAATAAGAAAATCACTGATCCACTGGTGCAGGGCGCCACCAACACCACACATCTTCAACTTGTGGAATAGGATCCCATGATTCACTTTATCAGAGGCTTTACTGAAATCAATGTAGATAAGATCCACTGACTTATCCCGATTATATGTTTGCAACCACTTCGGTTCGATTGATCGATGTGCCCTATGGAATTGTCTACTCAGGAAAGGTGTGCCCGAGAAATATGTAAATATTATCCAAGCATTATATGCGCGTAGCACGGGCAGAGTGAGGGTTTACGGCAAGCTGTCGCCACCCTTTACTATCTCCAGCGGTGTGAGACAAAGATGCCCGCTGTCACCTTTCCTCTTCAACTTCGCTATTGACGAAGTCATGGAGATTGCATTTACAGGACATGAATTGGAAGGTGTGGAACTACTCCCGGGAGAACGACTTCTTGACTTGGAGTATGCAGACGACATTGCCCTCTTCTGTGACAGCTCCCAGACGTGCCAAGCGACACTGGACAGATTAGGACTGGCTGTCCGTCACTTCGGGCTTTGCTTTGCACCCTCGAAATGCAAAGCGTTCCTCCAAGATTGGCAGGGATCGCCTCCTGCGCTGACCCTTGGTGGGGATCAGCTAGAAGTCGTTCGGAAGTTCAACTACCTGGGAAGTTGTATCAACGCCCTTGGGATCGCAGACGAGATCACGAACCGTATAGCAAAAGCTCGAAGTGCTTTTGCTAACCTTCGCCTTCTGTGGCGGCGGCGCGACATCGCTCTCGCCCTGAAGGGTAGAGTGTACAATGCAGCGGTACGTTCGAGCTTACTGTACGGTTGCGAAACCTGGCACCTAAGATCGGTGGACATAAAGAGGCTAGTTACCTTCGACCACCGGTGCGTTTGCAGTTTGGCTCACATCTGGTGGGACCATCGCGTGAGCAACGAGCGTGTTCGACGCCTTGTTTACGACATAGGAAAAGGAACTGAATCACTCAGCACTGTCATTTCACGCACCAGGCTCCGATGGCTGGGCCACGTGTTGCGCATGCCAGCCCACCGACTTCCACGACGTGCGTTGTTTGCTCACCGGGGATGTGGATGGAAGAAGAGGAGGGGTGGCCAAGCGATGACTTGGTCAAGAGAAATGAAGACCCACACTTCTGTGCTGGCCTCGGTTGGAGTGTCACGGCTCCCTGGTTGGGGTCCAAAAGACGGTGAACACGTTTGGCTGGATACACTTGCTGACATGGCAAGGAGCCGACCTCAGTGGCGCTCCTGCTGTGAGTTTCTTTGTCCGTACCCATCCCTTTTAGTCTCCCTCTCTACTTACGATCTTATTTCTTAGAGTAAAACAATAATTTTTCTTGTTGCCTAGTAGCCGGCTGGTAGCTTACCGGAACGATGCCTATGCGTTGCTGGTAGCTCAGCTGGCATGCAACTTTTGTATTCATTTTCCTTTTCCTTTATGTACTGCGGCACAGTAGCTGAGGTGTTCCCCACCTCTGGCTGACGTGTATAATGATGATGATAATCCGTTCGTGTTCCAAATGGTTTGACGGAGCGTAACAACTGAACTTGCGACCTCGGCTTACAAGGCAGGTTTGTGCTCCGTACGGTTACGAGCAGGCAATGCTTGAACCCACCTCTTTGAAATCCACGTGCGCCGCGGAGGTCGAAACGATGGACGCAAATGACGATGTTTCGAGGTTGAGTTTGAAGAAGAAATGCAAACAAAAGTCATTGGAGAATTGAGCACTCCAAGCTAAACAGACAAACGTCTCTTAATGTCTAAATAATGGCAAATCGGAGGAGAATACAACTGGCATTCGGCTTGCTCGCCTAGTTCGAGGGTAACACCTGACATCCACCATCCGCAGCAGCAATAGCAGTACATCAGTCACTTGAACTGATGCTTCGCTGCCGTACAAGCACGGTGGCCTACGGAAGGAAGTACACTAAGAGGAGAAGTATGGGGACCTAGGGTGATACAAACAGGGTCAAGGCGCATACACCTTGTCAAGAACATACCGGCGCAAACAGCTGACCATCCTGCAAGGATAAGGCGGCATCGGCGAGACAGCTTCGTTGCGGCTTACATTGCCACGCGTCATAATCAGCCATTCCCCTATAGATAATACACCAAGCACATTTTAAACCAGCAGTCTGATCAGGAGATGACAGCAGACACGACATTGGTGTTAACTGCGAGCCATGTCCTGTAACGTCTCAAGACAAGCACAAGGCGGGTCATGTGGACTCCAGCCAGGAAGGCGAGACGGACCGACGGCACCAAATTTTCTAGGTAATGATTTTATTTCCTGCTACCAAGTTAACTTTTGCACACCTCGAAATTTGCGTCATTATACACCTGGCAAACAAAACAAAGCGGTGACTAGGCATACGTGTCCAAGCTAACGTAACTTATTCAGTGCTATCTGTTATACTAAAGAACTAGCCTGATTATTAGTTTCTAGCTCTAACCTAAGCCCATCGTCGTAGTGGATCCGCTGTCATTCGACACCAGTAATGGTCTGTAAGCAGAGATGATCACAGACTTGAAGCCACTTCAGGTCGAATAGTTAATTCTCACTACCACAGTGTAAGAGGGCCCTCAATGTAGTCTTGTAAACACGGCTTTTCAGACTGAAGACACGGATAGCGTAGATTCAAAAAAAAACAGTTCCAACTTTTGCAATACGTGAACGGACTTCAGTGCTTATGCGCCCATCGTTGCTGATGCAAATGCCAAGTGAAGTGATCAACTACCTCGAGTTGTTCGCTATCAAAAGCCAAGGTGTCATCAAGTTGACAATGGTCCTGCAACTACACTGCGCTTTGTAGGTGGGAAGCGCATGCCAAATGACGGACTACCCCAGAGAGGTCATTAACGGATGAGTGGACCACCCCAAGATCGTCAAAAAACAAAACAATATCGGCCACACAATCAAAATCAACTGGCTTCCATTAGGCAGTGTCACTACGCCTGCACCATGAGAATGCGCAAGGTCACACTCCATGATGGAATTCGCAACGAAGTTGAGCCAAAATAAGGAGGAAGGATGAACCGGACGACACTTGTTGACAGAAAGATATCCGGTAAGTCACCGTAGACTATGAACGGGCCAGTGTGGTCTGAGTAGAAAATACATAGAGTGTTCACAAATTGCATGGGAACACATTTTCGCGTAAGTATTTCGGACCAACTGAATCGCACGCACTCTTGAAGTCCAGAAACACAGCTATTGTTGGTCTGCGATACGTGTGACGCTGCTGTATCACCTGCAGCAGAGTGAATATGTGGTCCATACAGCCGCGTACTGGGCGGAAACTTGCCTGCTCTTCCCTACTCTGTGATTTTCATTCTGCAGTGACACGGGAAGCGAGAATTCAAGCCAGTAATTTGGTTATCATCGGTGTTAGCCCAATACAGTCAGTGCGACGGCCCATCTTGGATATTCCTCCTATGATCGATCCGCTCTAGTTAGTTAGCATGACCTGTTTCCTCCAAACCTATTCGAACTGAGAGGTTAGGGTTTCAACACCATCTTTAAACAGTGCGGGTTCGAGGGATCTGGAACAGCACCGCGAAAACGATTAGGGGCTGCGATCGCGTTTCGGACCTGTCGCCGATTTAGCTTCTAAATTAACTTTCCATGACTAAGCCTGTAGCACCAAAGGAGGAAGAGGCCCAGGAGCAGTTAAAAAGTGCATATCTCTCGAACGTGCTCTGCCCAATGAGCTAGCCGGCAGTTTTTATTGGAACTACTCTCAAGGTTGAAACGAACGAACGACCGAACGGTATCATCAACATCATACACGTTAGCTAGAGGTGGAAAACACTTCAGCTATTGTACCGCAATACATTAGAAAATAGAAATAGAACAAAGGCACGCTTGATCTTTTTACCAAGACCGGTAGTGTGCGTGAGTTTGGAGAATTGCGAGTTTCGCTGCCATTTTCACACAGCGCCTAGATGGAGACGAAACCGCCGAAGCCGCTGATCTTCCCAGCGTGAGGATTTAGTTGAGTACACGCACTGAGGCTGTGCTACCAGATTGGATCCCAGTCAACAGTCGACTCAGCACTTGAAACCACTGTCCAGCCGCAAAACCAGCGTACGTTGTTTGTTCGCCCTAGCAGCGTACGCTCCCAAAGACTGAAACTCCGAGTCAAGGAAGAGTTCTACTGTCAACTGTCTAACCTTCTCGAAAAAGCGCCGTACAGATATGCTGGTGCTTGCAGTTGACTTAAATGCGCAAGTCGGCAAGCTTGCGGTTGACTAGTGTGAACTCGGTGATCAAGATGTTCATAGTACTGGAAGAGATAACAGTGAGTGCCTACTTCAGCTTTGCGCTGATCACGGCCTCTTCCTGTAGTGTAGTAGCTTTCGGCGATCCTGGCGCCAACGCACCACCAGAAGGTCCCCATCACCTGGTCAACCGTGGACACAAATTGAACACATCGCCATCAATTATCGCTGTCGGAGCTGTATACAGGAACTGTTAGATCATCATATTTTGTCGAAATTCCGAATTAAACACCCAACATTCTCTGTATGACTTCTACCCCAGCCGAGGAAAAATCAAAAGTCCAACGAGCTTGACCGAGAAAACCGTGTTAACTAAACACCGTTAAAACGCTGTACAATTTCCGCAGACATTCCCCAAATTTATAGGTCGCTTAATGGCCCACGGCTTCGGGAAACCGTAGGTCAACTTGTAAAATTAGTAGCTTCCCTGCTAAATCTCCGTATGTTGGCGGTCAAGTGAAGGATTGGAAGGTTCCAGAACCTTCGAAATTAATATATATATATATATATATATATATACATATATATATATATATCTTGGCACAGACAAGCGCGTGATCCGAAGTGAGGTAAGTGCGTCATAGAAGAGGCGATCCCCTTACAGCTGCGACACAGCCGATGCAGGATGCAATTGAGGTTTTGTTAAATAGTCATGGTTATACGTGGGCTGAGATATCGCCAATGCGCCCAAACTTAGACATTAGAACGATTAGGACTTTCAAGCAAAACCTTTGGCGAAAAATCTGTCTGCAAGACGACCGGGAGGTGGCAATGATTCCATTTTACAGAAATGGACATCAGCTCATTACCAACATCTAACCTAGAGGACTAGGAGACTGAGTTTGTCTGAGGTCTAACCATTAACCAACATGGTAAGAGTAGCTCCCAAGGGACCACAGAATTTAGCTCAACGGGTTCGCAGATACGCAAACCATCGCACCACGTCAAGGTTAGTCTCGTCGTGATGGAAGAGGTTACGCGCTCACTTGAGCATTCACTTTGCAACAATAATCCCAAGGACAATAGTTGCCATCATAATCCTTCGCTGATGGCCGCCGGGCTATGGTCTGGGAAAAGTTAAGCTGTAACAATAAAAATACGTTCCTTCACTTGGAGCTGCCTAGCGATTAAAACAGCACAAATGTGGTAGTTTGTTAGGATCCATATAAGTTGACCGCCCTAAGCGTATCTATGAGAAGTGACGTACTTAACTGTCGGCACCACGAAATGAACAAAGCAATAGGAGAAGCTTTAAAATTTTGGCTTTAGAGACACAGCACACATAAACACCAACAGGTTGATTGAAAGAAAGAAGAAAAAAGGCATCAGCAGTACACCGGTACGCAGTAGCGACATTCCGCTGCCGCACAAACACCACCAGCCGCACGTGGGTCAAGGATCACAGAGCAGGCTTGTGATCCACAAGGCCACGGGCCGGCATGTTGATCAAGTCAAGACAGAACACGTACATTGAAAGAGTTCAGATGAAATGTTACTCAAAAAGCCACCAAGAAACCCTTTTAGTATTGGAGACGATCCTAGGTAGCCGCATGCGGTTAATTGGTTGCTCTATGATTCGTCGGCAACCCCAAACGCAGCAGCAAAAGCGCAGATCATCCAATGAAATAAGTCGCAACTCGGCAGCAAACGGACGGATCAGCCGTCAGATGGAAGAGAAAATGGAAATGAGTTGGAAGGTCATAGCCACCAAATAGATTGGAGTTGGTAACGGCTAGTACGCGCAGGATAATATTCGAACGAATGGGTAACGTTGAGTGTTCGAAAAGTAGGAAAATACTGTATCCAAGAAAACATGAAGTGCACTGCAGCTGAATACTGGCGGATGTCAGGATACGATCAGATGTTGCGAACCCCAGTCCACGGTGCATTACCTCGATGTCATCGCAAAAGTAACTAAAGATTTCAACCCCTTCGGGTATAGGTGACCCACACAGGCAAACCGGATGCGGAAAGTACAACCACCGTATGGCACACACAAAGCAGTGGAGAATGCACATATGATGTCAAAGCAAGCGGCAGACAAGAATTGAGTAGTGTAATTACCTGTAAAGATGAACAAGTGGAAGGAGCAGGACTATCAGGGAATGAAGTTGGCTTCACTCGAGACTTGAGCTGGAATTCCGTTATGACGACACTGTAACCGTTGGCGAAAATCTCAAACAGCAAAGGAGATGAACGATCAAAGTTTTTGAGTTTGACGGACCTAAGTAGAAGTATAAGCCACGATAGACGAATAGACTAACGCTCCGTTTGGACCGGGTTTTTCAAAACTTTTATCCGGTCTCTTCTTCCGAAGATCCTCATCTTTCTCTTTTAGAATGGCCTGGGCGATCAGCTGTTGCTGTTCCACGACTTGAGGATTTAAACGTGGCTTTCTAAAAGTGACATAGTGATAGAGCAAGAACACCGAATCGTACCGTGTGGATGTGCCTTTGCGCATAAAGCATATTTCGCATTTATACGATTCACTTGGGTTCATGTAAGTGCAGACCCCGCATTCCCATTTGTCGTCATCCTCCCCACGAGGTTTCCGTTTCGACCTGTATGAACAAACGCATATGACGAAATTGTAGATTGCTCAAAAAGTCACATTTGTCTTAAGCATCGTGGGTCGGTAACAGGGAAGGTAGTGAGAAGACAGACGATCAAAGGAGTATGTGGTTCGAAGCGACATAACATAAAAAAGTGGTTAGGCAAATGGTGTAGTCAGAAATATAAATTGCACTTTCAAAAATGCTAGCAGGGATTGACTATCAGATATGGCACGGTCACGGAGTCAGTAGCACAAGCGCTTGTCCCCACATTTCGGATTCCAGACGATTGCGTCCATTCGCCATAATCTATTAGTAACATCCGTTTATTGTCGACAGTCTGTGCACATGGATGTACGGGTCAAAGTGGATGAACTGAACGAATGTGATTAACATTCACATGAGCTACGTGCTTGGTCAACTCATGATTTCGAATTTTAAGGCCATAAGCAAACCCAATAAAAGCAAAAAGCCTCTCACGTAGAAGCGAAGTTTGGTTATCCGTAGTTATGTCACTAAAGGCATCAGCCGTAGGTTGGTGTGTCGCGCTGACGCTTCGCTGTTTTACGACAATCAATAGTCGCGCACGGGCTTCGGATATTGCGAGACCGTCCGCACCTAAGCAGATTCGAACCAGTGACCTTTGGGTTAAAAGGCAGAAGCCTTATCTTTCTGGCCACCCGCCGATGTTATGTCACTAAATATGGAAACATGCTGACGTGACCAACAGACAGCGAAAAAGTTGATTTGACGGACACAGTTACGGTCGCAGATAGATAGACAGCTAGCAAGTAATAAAAAAGTTTCTCAGCCTGAAGGAGTCATGCCCGCTTGCATCCAATGACAGTTGGAATAAGCTAATAAGCCATCGCAATGGGGCTGGACCTTACCGCGGTGCGATGGTTTGTGTGCCTCAGTGATCCATTGAGCTATGCTGGGTGGTGCAGTTTTGCACCTTCAGAGCCACTCATACAAGATTGGTCAATGGTTAGAGGCCAGACAAACTCAGCCTCCTGGTCCTCCAGGTGGGGGGTTGGAATGAGGGTGGCTCCTTATTCCTTAAAACGGACTCCTTGTAGTCCAGTGCCAAACCCGCTGCCATGCGGCCAGGTTTTTGAACCAAAGGCTTTGGTTGAGAACCCTAATCGTTCTCCTGTCTAGGCCTGGGCAACCTGACAGTATCCTGACCACGCAATACTATGAATCTCACTTCAAACAAATTTCTGATCCGCTGGCCACCGCAGAGGATAATTAACGGTGCCCTATCTGCTGCATCGAGCAGGGTGGATAGGGGTTTGGATGCTACTGCTCAAGCCTTCCCGTCTTCTTATTCCCCATCTTACGCTTTTTCACGATTATCGTCCCGTTCCAGCTTCACTTTTATCCCCCCAGTTTTCACCCCCCCCCCCGATTCTTGGCCCTCCCCCACCTTGCTTCAATAGTCGCTTGTCTTTTAGTCTCAACTCACATGGGAACACGGAGCGTCATTCCTGCCCTGTCAATAGGCCCATGTCCAAGCAAGCGGCCAAGTCCAGTTCATCGGCTTCCATTTGAAGCCCTCGATCCTCCTTCAGATTGGCATGCCTCAATGTACGCACATTGCTTCAGATCGGTCAGCAGGCAGCACTTGAGCGAACATTAGAGACCCTCTCAATCGACATCTGCTGCTTATCGGAGATCCGCCTGCAAGACTCGAGCTCTGTGCTCACTCGGCCATCCCCTTCAGGTGACACTAGCAGCACTTCCTCATTGCGCCTATCCGATGACGATGCACCTACGAACACCGGACAAGCCGGTGTCAGTATTGCCCTGAGTCCCCGGGCTGAAACTGCTCTGGTTGATTGGATTCCAATCAATAACCGGATGTGTGCGGTCCGATTGGTTGGCTCGTTCAAAACTTCGAAGTCGCGTGGGACTAACAGGTGTCTATTGGTTATCGCTGCCTATGCACCGACAAACTGTAGCGATGACTCGGTAAAAGACGACTTCCTTCGTCAACTGAACGAGCTGCTTAGCCACAGAAGAAGCTCGGACACTGTAGTGCTGGTCGGGGATCTGAACGCACAAGTTGGAAAATTATCCACTGATGAGCTGCATTTGGGCGGTCAACATGGTGTAGGCTCCCGTAATGATAACGGTGAGCGGTTACTTCATTTGTGTGAAGATGCCCGCTTATTTCTTGCGAGCACTAACTTCCGACACACCACTCGCCGGAGGGTGACTTCGCGCCCACCAGCCTCGAACCAGCCTTGGGCGCAGATCGATCAAATTGCTAGCAGTTACCGCTGGAGTAGCTACATCCAGAACTGTCGGTCGATTTGGAGCACAGGTGTGGACACCGATCATGCAGTTGTATGTGCTAACCTGCGGATGCGTTTTGGCGGACGCCCACGACGACGCTGTGAGCGCGTTGACACCAGCCAACTGACAAAGCCAGCTGTTCTGAATGCGTATCGAAGTACGCTGACATGCGAGTTGGATAAACGCTCACTGGATGCAATTGAAGCTCACTGGTCTCATATTCAACAGACCTTACTTGCAGCAGGCAAATCCTCATGTGGTATGTCTAATCGCCAACATGGACATTAGGTCTCTTCTCGGTCTCTGGAACTTATAGATGCTCGCCGGCATATTCCGGCTGGAAGCGAACACAATGAAACTCGCAAAGAGCTCCGGGCAAAACTCCGTGTTAGCCTGAAGAGTGACCGCGAATCCTGGTGGTCTCATCATGAGTCAGAGATGGAAGTGGCCGCTGCCTTTGGTAACCATCGTAAGTTATTCTGTCTGATACGGGAAACGGGCAGCAGGAGACCTGTTGTTAGTGAAACTATACGTGACGAGAGTAGACAGCCTATCCACAATTTGTCAAAACGCTTGGAGCGTTGGGCTGAGCACTTTGAAAGGCAATTTAATCGGTCGGAATTGTTAGATTTCTCGCCGGCCACTGATCGCCCCGCTCCGTGGGCTGTCACTTTGGATCCACCCTCTCGCTCAGAAGTCGAACGTGAGATCGGACTGTTGAAGTTCAAGAAAGCCACGGGACCAGATGATCTTCCTCCAGCCCTCTTCAAATTCGGGGGATCTGCTCTGTGGATAATTTACACGAATTACTAGTTAAACTGTGGGAGCAGGAAACTGTCCCAACCGATTGGAGCCGCTCCGTCATAGTCCCAATTTTCAAGGGAGGCTCACGATCGGAATGCGGCAGCCGTAGAGGAATCAGTCTGAGCTCCATCGCCTCCAAATTGCTTGCCTCTGCCATCCTTCACAAACTGACTGGCGCTCGTGAAAGCCAGATTCGTGAAGAGCAAGCCGGATTTCGTCGAGGTCGCGGCTGCATTGATCACGTCTTTAGGTTGCGTCAGTTGCTGGAGCACCATCACATATATTGGTGGCCCACCGTTGTCGTGTTCCTCGATATCAAAGGTGCATTCGATTCGGTGGATAGATATACACTTTGGGACTGTCTACTCAGGAAAGGTGTACCTGAGAAATATGTAAATATTATCCGAGCATTATATGCGCGTAGCACGGGCAGAGTGAGGGCTTACGGCAACTTGTCGTCGTACTTTAATATCTCCAACGGTGTGAGACAAGGATGCCCGCTGTCACCTTTCCTCTTTAACTTCGCTGTTGACGAAGTCATGGAAATCGCGTTCACAGGACACGACTAAGAAGGTGTGGATCTGCTCCCAGGAGAATGGCTTCTTGACTTAGAGTATGCTGATGATATTGCCCTAATCTGTGACAGCTCACAAACGTGCCAAGCAGCACTGGACAGATTAGCACTAGCTGTCCGTCACTTCGGGCTTTGCTTCGCACCCTCGAAGTGCAAAGCGTTTCTCCATGATTGGTCTGGACCGCCTCCTACGCTGATCCTTGGTGGGGATCAGCTAGAAGTCGTTCAAAAATTCAACTACCTGGAAAGTTGTATCAGCGCCCGTGGGATTGAAGATGAGATCACGAACCGTATAGCAAAAGCTCGGGGCGCTTTTGCTAACCTTCGCCACTTATGGCGGCGGCGCGACATCACTCTTGCCCTGAAGGGTAGAGTGTACAATGCAGCGGTACGTTCGACCCTACTGTACGGTTGTGAAACCTGGTCGCTTAAAGCAGCGGACCTGAAGAGGCTAGTTACCTTCGACCATCGGTGCCTTCGCAATTTAGCTCACATCTGGTGGGAACACCGCGTGAGCAACGAGCGTGTTCGACGCCTTGTTTACGGCACAGGAAAAGGAACTGAATCGCTCAGCACCGTTATTTCACGCACCAGGCTCCGATGGCTTGGCCATGTGTTGCGCATGCCAGCCCACCGACTTCCGCGACGTGCGTTGTTTGCGCGCCGGGGGTGTGGATGGAAGAAGAGGAGGAGTGGCCAAGCGATGACTTGGTCTAGAGGAATGAAGGCCCTCACTTCTGAGCTGGCCTTGGTTGGAGCATCTCGGCTCCCTGGTTGGGGTCCGAAAAACGATGAACACGTTTGGTTGGACACACTTGCTGACATGGCAAGGAGCCGACCTCAGTGGCGTTCGTGCTATGAGTTTCTTTGTCTCACCCCATCCGTCTTAGCCTCCCCCTCCAACCACGATCTCATTATTTAGCCTTATATAATTTTGCATAGTAATTTTTTTTGATGCACAGTAGCCGGCTGGTAGCTTACCGGAACGATGCTCATCCGTTACCGGTAGCTCAGCCGGCTTGCACCAGTTGCTTTTTTCTCCTTTTTTCTATGTATTGCGGCACAGTAGCTGAGATGTTCCCCACCTCTGGCTAACGTGTATGATGATGATGATGGTGATGATGATGATGATGATGATGATGATGATGATGATGATGATGATGATGATGATGGAATAAGCTAATCGCAGGTGATAGTACGACCCGAAAATAAGCCTCAAACAGCACCGAGTGGAACAGTGGATCGAATCGTAGCAACAGTCACTCTCTA